ATATATATGTATTATCAATGAATGTTTCAATACTATAAATCAAGGAATATCGAGTGAAACTAATACTTCGACCTGGCTTTAAAAGGCCTATTTATCTTTAGATGGTTGTATTTACGCCTAAAGTTATGGTACATGATTTATAATTAACATTGTTTACCGTACATTACATAATACAATTGTTAATTAACGTTGTTTATATTACATGATACATGATTGTTAATATTTGAAATTGTTAAAAATTGATTCAATTGTTAGTTAATATATTACATTTCTTATGAATTATATATTTTGGTAACTTATATTGATTATTATAGTACAAAAAAAATCACCAATAAATTGGATATCAGTGTTTCACTTTTATATAATGCTGGAATTTTTAATATTTCATTTCTTGGATAAGCATACCCTTTTTCAAACCCGAGACCAATGTTTGTAGGCCTACTAGACTAGAAAAAAAAATCAAAAAAGAGGCCTAGAAATCAAGTTAGGGGGAGTGGAATGTTAGAAGCAGTCAACATAGCCAGATATCCTAATTTACAGTTTAAATTCCTTGCTCAGACCCACCCGCGCGAAAACATTTTTATTCCCCTTAGAATGCATTTGCCAGGCCTATTATCTTCTATACATATATGCGTATGGCCCGACTATCCCAGAGGTAAGGTCAAGAAGGCCCAGGCCTCTGCATCTGCGGGCACTGCGATAATCTTGAAAAATTCTGTTAGTTACAGTATAACAGCAACAAAATATGTTAGGTTGTGCCTACCAGTTGCAGTGATACTTTTGTACTATACCAATAATAAAACTGGGAAAGGAGTTAATCTATCTAGAAGAATAGGGCCCAGGCGTTCTGAGTATTATAGTAAAAATAATTGCAGTTGGGGCCATCTTGATATGTACCTTGTTGTAATCATCTCAGTGAGTCTGCATTGTGCTGTCATCATTTTAGTGAGTCCGATCAATAGAAATAAAGTCTAGTGTAAACATTTCCTATCATATATATCTAATCCCGCTAACGTATATAAGGGCCCTATCATGTCATGTCATGTGGTTAGGATTGTAAATATATAACAATCAGAGTATAGTAAATAACTCAGCTCAGCCATACGTTTTTATTTCATTCCCACTTTCAACCAAATATTTTATATAGAGGGCGGTATTGCAGAGTAGCCAGCACAACATTCCCCCTTCACAAAACAGACTAATTACTGTAGCCTACACTGTATCATCCTACAGTAGCGTGTTAAAGTAGTTTAAACATCTGCCCAACACAGTAGTCTAAAGTCTCTGGTCTATTTCTGAATAAAGAAGATTTTGGAGATTTACTTAGTATACAGGGGCGGCGGCAGGAATTCCCCAACGAGGGGTCCAAGCTCCCCTAACCCCCACCCCCTCTGCAACCCATACGATCGCAATACAACACCTCGCACATAAAGTAGCATTGCTAGCACTAAACAGTTTTTAATCCCCAAGGCATGCTTGAATTGTACTTTCGGCGTTCGAGATTTTATTTTTCGATCCCCGACGACCTTGCGGCTAAAAATTCCCCGACAGGCGGTCCAAGCGGGGGTCCAGAGGCCCCCGACGAGGTCCTTTGCCCCGCGGTTGCTATATTAGCGTTTTGAGTCGGTATCGTACATACGTTTTCGACAAATGCCTGCATTCACATTTCTACCGTCTTGCAATTTGTAAGTCGCTGGACCCTTATTCGCACTGAATCCGAATTTTCAGATTATCAGTCGGGCACTCACTGCGACTGACGGTCGTTGGCCGACGCGAGTTTATGTAGACACGACACGACACGCGCGCAACGGGTCGTTTTTAATGACGATCAGCTCAGACTGCCACCGACAATCAACAGACGGCGTCGCGCCGTCAAGCCAGGGGCGGATTTAGAGGGGGGGCGGGCCGATCCCGCCCCCCCCCCACCTTTGGAAAGTAAAATAAAATAAAAAGAGAAGAAAGAAAGAAAAAGAAAAAATTGATCGCCCAAAACGCCTCAGAGGTTATTTTCCGGCGTCTATAACACAAGAATTTGGCGGGGGCATGCGCCCGGACCCCTATGGTAGTGTTGTCTCAATCAGCCCCACTTTCGGCCCCTTTTGGACATCTCTTGATCCGCCCCTGCAAGCACTCACAGAGGGAGCGGATTTGGATTCGTCGTACACGCAGTGAGGGCCTGGCTTAATAATAGGAACACTTGGCGTCTGAATTTCGGTTTAGATGTGAATGCAGCTTAATGCTAAATTTCAATCCGTGTCTTCTTAAACAAGAGTTGATAGTTGACTTCCATCCAAGAGATCTAATGTCGACACGTTATTTCCGATCAGAATTGGTGACTTATCAACGGTTGTTGACGTACCTGGATTCGAAAACAAATCATGTTCATTGAGACCAAATCCGGCAGATACCAAGCGTTCTTCTTTGCGCCACACGTAGATGGTTCGAGAAATATTGAAAACGACAATTATACAGCCTATGCCGAGGAATCCAGTGGATAACGAGGCGGGAATGACACGAAATTCAAGGAAAATGTAAGCTGAAAGAGCTGAAATGAAGAAAACACAAAGTTATTGGCTTCGTAACTGTATCACAAGAATTTAATTGTGAGAATATCGTGGGTTTAACCTAACTTTGATACGGCACTGTCTTCAACCAATTATTTCCATGGCAACAATAATATGGATATGTATCCAAATCAGTATAAACATATACATATTAAACTCATGCTTTAAAAATACAACCATTAAAGTGGATTTTAAAAGTCCTTTTAGTCTAGAGTCTGGTCGTTCTATGATACCAAAAAAACATTGTAAACTTAACATTTTTGCTATCAATCGATGAGCAATTTGCTGAAAACTCCTTTATAATCTTTTTAACGTTAAACTCTGTCCACTCTATCAAATTTTATGTGACAAATAAATGTGACGTGTCCATATTTGTATGTACAGTAATATGACATCATCATGACCATATATGGGCACGTCACACAACTTTGTCACATAAAATTTGATTGTGTAGAGAGCTGTATATTGAAATATTTAGGGAAAGACTACGGTGACGTATGATAGCAGAAAAATAACACTTACCAAGCAAAAATGTGGGGATGGAAATGAAGAAGGCTCCAATGCCAAGGAATCGGGCTCCAGCCACTGACCTCATGAATTTATACGACCTGAATGAACAAGTTTAATAAACACATTGTTTGCATCGGTGTGGATGTAATACAACTAATTAATATCTTTAAGTTTGACATTTAATTGCCAGTAAATATAATTGAAGTTCAAAAATTTAAAATTAAATCTTCATTATTAGCATGTTCAGTCCTCAATAAGAAGGTTTACCCCTAATTGTGCTATAGTACAAGACTGGTAGGCAAAATTAAACAGTATGGAACACAAAAATGGGGATTTTTCTCTTGCACTTTGCTGCGCGTTCCTGTAAAATACATGGGCTCTTTCAACATTCACTGACACTTCATTTTTGCTTCATGAGTAATGAAGGGGTATTAAGACGGGCTTGTAGTAGACTTTGTAGCAGATAGCTCAATTATTAGTTATAGCGGTCCTATGATAAAAGTGCGCATATGTAATAATCATAGTGAATCAATCGGGGAAAACCAAGCAGGAAATGACCAATGAGGTAATTGTTTGAAACAGTTTACCATAAATGGTTAGGCATAATGGTAAAAGAAACAGAACGAATTGTGAGCATTGGTAATTATACAGTCAATCGTTAATTAAAGATGGTACTATGCCTATTTACATTATGGTATCTGCTTCCTTGTTTTGTCAAGGAGTTATAAACATATAATATTCCCTTCTTGGTTTGGTTTGACTATCAGTAATAACAGAGATGATTCTGAATAAGTAGATTGGCTTACTTCAATAGTTAATAATTCTTGATTAGGACGGAAGCTTACGCTAATTTGCTACTGGATCTTGTGAATCACATAGAGTTTATTGATAAAAAAAATAATAACTTATATAATATTTAGGCCTATATGTAATCATAGGTCTACATATAAAAATGTATACATAAATTAAACTAAACATTGTAAGGTGATACTCTTTCGTAGAATTTAAATCATGGTATTGAAAAAATCGTAACTTGCATTCCATTAAAATGAAACATAGAATATAAATATTTACCGTTCTTCTCCTTGCGGTAAATTAAAAATTTTAGTACCGAAATAAGCCTGTACCGCACAAACCAGCGAACTGCACAGATTCAACATCACCGCAAAGCTTGTTAAAACAATAGCAGAGTCCAAAATTGCGTCATAGATTATTTCATCCAGAGCATTGTCCGCATTTTTCTGATATTCAGCATATCCGTTTTGTTTGTTCACTAGCTGGAATATTAATAATACTGAAAGAATCGCACAAAAAGTTGATACAATACTCAAAATTCCGAGAGCCAGTAAATTTTTTTCCATACCACTGCCTTTACTAGCAAATGTAAACCTTGATAGGCTCACGCTATTGATATCTAGATTTCCACTCCTGTTCATTTTCCTATGGGATCCGTTGTTTCCACTTATGAAAATGATGACGTAGGAACTATTGTTACATCGTTTTAATCCCGCGAAGCTGCAAAATATTTCAACAGTCCAGTACGATAAAATTGCACCGAATCTTACCAATTCCAAAAGTTTGAGTAGAAGTACCAAGTCGATTTATCTCACACTCAAAACTAATTTTATCTTAAACCGTATGCTAAGCTTGTGTGTTCGCATGGTCCCATTAGTGTCTCGTACACGCACAGATGGTGATTTCCATGACGAAAATTGGAGTTGCAGCTTCCGATGAGAGTCGAATGTAAGTTTGTTACGACAAACACAACAGTTACAAAATACCAAGGGGTTTGATTGTGGAGCAAGAGTACACGAAGTGATGTGACCTGAAAAACAGACAGTTAATAAATCTTAAAATACTGTATGGCTATATTACTTGGAGATTTTCAAAAATGATGTCCTTATAAGGACATTGGCTTATGGCATAATTGCAATAAACTATGAAATATTAATGATTTGAAATATTCCGAACATACCCAACATACGACGTAGGCCTACATTAGAGAAATCATGAATAATGTAATGTCATAATGTAACAGCTGGGTTAAATAACGTCTTCCCAACTGGGATACGCTGACAAATGTGCCATACATACTTAACCTCTGAAACACTTCTATCACACTTTATAGTGAATTGTACTAGGAGCCGATAGGAAGTCCAGTATAGAAAATATTTATTCAATGATTACAAGTAGCCTAAGTTTGTGTTCTTAGAAAATATATAGGCCTGTAAAAAATACACAAATTACTAAACATAACTTAAATTGGTAAAGGACTACATACAGTGGTGACCCCAGTTGGGTCCTGTGTACCTGGGCACCCGGGCCGTCGGGGCAGGCAGGCGTTTAACTCGAACATGAGAAACCAGCTCGACCCCTCCCTTTTCTTCCCACCCCACTCCTCTGGCAGTAGCCAAACAATATATAATTAAGTGTAAAATTACCTTAGTATTAGGCATAATGTCTAAACGTAGGTGATTCTAAGGGACTGGGCTTCCTGTACCCTACATTATGTAAAAGTAAACCCAAACTTCCCTTTGGAACACGGGTCTGACCTCTTGAACCATAACTTGTAGATTGCAACTTGCTCTTCTATCGCCATACCCACACCCCCTCGGAAAAAATCTTGAATCTGTCACTGCAGAACAGTACTCAGTTTGGGAGCCTTACACTTTTATTTGGTGAGGATATGCATGGATGGATCTCACTGCGTGTACGTAAACAAATAATTTGTTCAGTCTTCTTAGCATTGAATTGAGCAAGATTACATAGATTGTAAACCAGATTGACATTGAGGTATTTGTATAAATATGTATAGTAAGCCATTCAATAAAATTATTCAATTCAATCCGATATATCTCAGCAACAAATGAAAGGTTTCAAAGTCACACGCCATGGGGTAGCATTGTTCCACGTCTTTGCCGAGGCATGAAGGTTCACTTCAGCACAACAAAATTAACACAATGATACGTAGACACTTTACTGATTTGCGACTGTTTTGATTATGTTGGCTGTCTTAGCTGTACAAAGTTGGTTGAATTGTTTTTAAATATTAAAAATAAAATATTTTGCTTCTGCATGATGATATCAGACATATCTACGGTGCGCTACTGGGGACAGCGATTGCTTACGTACATGTGTGACGACGAATGTTTCGCAAAAAAAAATGTTCTCCATTGAATGCAAAAAAGGGTTAATTTTTACAATAGAACCCCTCATTTTTACAATAGAACACGTCCTTCATTCACGAACATCATATTAACATTACAGCCAACCCCCATTAACCGGGGGGACACCATATTAAAGGGACATGGACGATTTTTGATTTTTTGTCTTAATGTGTAGACCCCGATAATAATGGATTACCTTTCAATAGCTGATTCAAAATAAAACCAATTATCAGACACATACGCAATTTATCCTTTCTATTTTCTGTTTATCGCTACGTGCTAAAATATTAGGAAGCTGATTTCAACATTAGAAAGCATAGCCTACATGAAGTCATATTATAGTAACTCGATGCCTATCAAATAAGTAATAAAAATTCGCCATAATTCATCAAATATCCGTGGCTTCCAGGGGGCGAAGCCCCCTGGACCCCACCGGGGGCCCTAGGCGGCCCCCTGGCCCCAGCCAAGTGAGACTCGATTCGCTCCACTAGCCCCCCCCCCGTCGGGGCCTTTAGCCCCTCCGTCGGGCAGGTCCTGGCGCCCCTCTGGTACCGGGGTGGCCGGGGTGTGGGGCCTTGACTTTGAAGAACTTGAAAGTCATTAAAAGACACCTCAGAAGCATGGGAAGCTCATTTCCCGCCATCTAGGAATTAAAATTTTCCCAGGGGAGGACCCCCCACCTCCCACCCTTTCTTTTTGGAGTTTTTATGAAAAGAATTTGACACCCCCACCCCTCAAATGTGAAAACAGGTCCGCCCGTGTTTATAAACTCTATCTTCAAGGTGCTTATTGCATTTGTAGGTTTTCATTTGTTCAAAGCTATGAATAAAACAATGCCAAAAAGTTAAGTAGGCCTACCGGCCTATCACACTAAACGTTGGCTTATTTAAAAGTCAATACTGTGTTCAAATTTTGTTTATTATTCTATTATTGTTGCAATATATATGTTACTGTAATAAAACTTCATAATAAAAATTTATATGGTTCAAATATCACAATTTCCAAAAAATAAATGATAATCTTAGCAAGATAGACATTGTGTTTTAAAGGCCAAAGGCGCTAAATATATAGTACAATATTTTACTTTTCCATAATCTCAAATTATGATACTGTAATGCCTATCTGTGTTTCCCATAACCTCACAATTATGATATTGTAATGCCTATCTGTGCATCACTACAATGCAAACCGTACCGGTACATGTTTCATATTATATCAGCTCCAAAAAAAAAAAATTTTTGTTTTGCTAATCTTGTTTTGCTAATCTCTGCCTCTTCTTTTTAAAGTGTACCACTTTTGTCGTTGCTGTCTACTTACCTCCCATACCATCCATTACCGTATTTCAGGAAGGTTTTTGAGGGGTTATTTAAGGAAGTATTTTTTAAATGTTTGTGTATACAATTGCAATACTAAATAACAGTGGCGTAGAAAAGTTTTTTCATGGGTGGGGGATAATTGGCGTGTTAGCCAGTGTCGTAACAGGCGCGGGGGGTGGGGGTTTTTACCGGGCTGACCTAGCCGCCGTACCGGGCTGGGTAATAAGAGAAAAGAAAGAGGGGAGAGGGAGGGAAAGAGAAAGAAGAAAAAAGAAAAGGAAAGAAAAAGAAAAAGACATAAAAAAAAATAAAGACAAGAAAGGAAGATATCATAATGACCAGACTCACAACACCCTGCAACCCTTCTCCACTTCAAAAACTGTCATAACTCATTTGATCTATGCTGCCCGATGGCTTAACCACTGGGGGACAAGGGGAAAATATCTATCTTTGAAAAATCTTCCCCACCCCTTTATAAATGCCCTTTTCATCCCCTGAAAATGCCTAAAAAACCTCAAATTTCTTGTTAGCATGGGTCAATTTCCTCTAAAAATTGCACATTTTAGGGAGTTTTGATCAATTCCAACGAAATTAGAATTAAAAATACCGGGGGACAAGAAAAAATATCCATCTTTGGAAAATCTTTCCCCACCACTTGACAAATGCATCCTCTGAAAGTGCCTAAAATTCTTAAATTCTTTGCTCGCATTTCTTGTTACGGTAGGCCAATTTCCTCTATAAATTGTACATTTTAGGGAGTTTTCATCAATTCAGACGAAATTAGAATTAAAAACACAAAAATATTTTGCGCGCTTCGCGCGCATTTTTTAGGGCTTTTTTAGGTTTATCCTTTTAAGCTATTTAAACACATAAGCCTAATAATAGTCCCAAACTCAAGAAAGACAAATTTAAGATAGATCGTTTTAACCAAAAAGAAGGGCCTCAATATGTATTGATGGTGAAAGAATATGTTTGTAAAAAATAAAACCATGATGAAAATGCATATATTTAGTTTCAAACACACTTGTGTGGCCTATGTTATAAATAAGATAAGCCCTATGTCGTATTGTTTTTTATATGGGGAGTGGGGTGTGGGGTGGGGTGGGTATGGTAAATTACTAACCGGGAAAATAAATACCCACTCTGACCCAAGACCCCTGTTACGCGCATGGTGTTGGCGCCAATGTGTGCCCTTGTGCGGACAGGGGATGTGCCCCCCCCCCCTCTGAAGCTGGAATTCTTGTTTTTGCAAAATAAATTGATGCAATTTGCTATTATAGGCCTAATCAATAAATTCCTCATCAACCAATATAAACTTAAACATTCTTGGAATTGACATAACATTACTGATGTTGTACACACCCTTGAGTGTGAAATGTGGCTCTCTTTGCAAGCACATCTAATATCTAAGGAAAGAAGAGCTTAGGTTGGTACCAGATAAAATAACTTTGTTATCAACATTAATACATTATGCTAATTTTCATCTTTGTAAGCGCATAAGACAGTGCAAATTATTTCTGTGACAGTCTTTTGAAGTGTGTAAAATTCCATTTTATCCCATACATAGTCAAAATATTGGGGGATGGGGATATATCCCCATCCCCCCCCCCGGGATCTACGCCTATGCTAAATAAATCACCCTTCATTGGAAATATTCGTTCAACTAAAGCTTATTAACTCCACTGTGTAAGCTAAGAAACTTCGATCGATGAATGCTGCGAAGCTAGGACTTAAACTATGCCCATACAATTTGGTCCCACATCCGTCATGCAATATCATAGGCCTAAAAACAAACCATTGTTTTTAATTAATAGGCTACATAACATAAATAAATCACCTTCTTTTAATTTTACATTGAAATAAATTAATATTAATTGTTAATGATAAATATTTCACGATAAAATAACAGACTGGATGTGTATACCGGTAACAGACTGAATGAAAGCTCTAATGTTACGTGATTATAATAATACTTGCATAATTCTGCAAATGTAAAGTAGGGCCTACGTTATTCCTGATGATGCTTAAATATATGCGAAACGTTAAATAAAATGGTCTGGAGTGTGACATTCATAATATGTAAAGTACTCATGCCAAAGAACATTATGCTCACTGTAACCTTTGTTGACTTATAGGCCTACCATCCTACGTTAAACAAAATGCGGTCTGGCATGCCGTCGATGGTGGCGGTAGCAGCAAACAAAACACACGACCGGCGATCGACACCATACTGATCGAGACGGCGTGCGAAAACATTACATGGATGAGCTTATTTCGGAAACAAAAAACATAGCCAGTGATCCAATACCATCCTCGGTGAGCTGTGAAATGGAAGAAGGAGAATTATCGGATTCGGGAGATGAAACTATTTACATCGAATCAAAACACAAGGTTCGTGTTGGGGCTGCCTATCCCAGGCCTCCTTGCCTTGTTAGAAAGGACTGTCTAGGGGCCGGGCCTAGGCCTATACCTGGCATTTATGGTAATTGGAATAGGCCTAGACATAGGGCCTAGAGTGAAATTGAATAGCTGGCTTGCCTTCCAATCCCAGTGTCCTGGTTGAATTCCTGTGATAGCAGGAGTTTTCTTACGACTACAACTCCACTACCTATAGCATAACTAGGTTGGGGCCCTCTTTTTGGGAAACAGTAGAGGCCGATATCTACTGAACAGAATACCTGGAAAAGAAGAAAAAAATAAAATTTTAGGATATTAAATTTAGACATATTTGATTTAAAGTACAGTTTGCCCTCCAATTCAAGACCACCTTTGGACCTGAATTTGGGGTGGTTTCGGGGTTCATGGTCTCTAATTAGAGGGCTAGCTTTGTGTTTAAAAGGTTAAAGATTGTTATTTGGGTCTTTCGAAAAATGGTTTCAAATTAGAGGGGTCTCGGAATTAGAGGGATCTCGAATTGGAGGGTGCACTGTATGTTCCATACTCTCTATTTCACTGTAAGGAACATTGAAAAGGAATGATCAGCAAATTCATGTTTGTAATTAGCCCACTATCTATGTATAGAGGTAAAATAACCATACATATGCATTCTTCAAATTACAGTAGTCTCTTTTTTGTTAACATTTAAAAATACTTAGGAAATCATTTTATTAAATCTGGAATTATTGTAAACCTGGAACTTTTAATGTCATGAATTTTAGCAGATTATATAAGTTTCTTCTATTTTATTCTGTTTCCACAGATTAGCCCTGTGTCATCATTCCAGTGCAGAAGCAGCTATAGAAGCGTGATAGAAACTGATGAAGATGACAGTGATAGTGACGCAGAAAGTATAACATGGAAAAGAAAGAAACAAAAAGTCTGCCAACAACAGAGGAGTGTAGATGTTCAGGACATTGGAAATGATATTCCAAAACCTCCTGTTATTCCAAAGAGGAATGGAATTAAAAAAATTAATAACGTATGGGGAGCAGTTATACAGGAACAAACTGAAAAAATGGTATCTTCACAACTTACAACTTTTGGGTTGGATTTTAGTGCTAATCGTGGTGTTGAGAGTTACAACCATGAGAGAAGCTTGGAGACGCCGACAGCCCTACCATTCGGCTCTTACAACCAAGATGCCCTGCCTCATAGGAAAGTTCCTCAAGCGGTTGTTGAGGATGACGATTGGTTTGGAGAGAGTGCTGAACCCTGCGTAAATAGTAAAGACATCCCGGATGATACTGATGATGGAATGGTTGTCAACGTAAAAGAGGATAATTCTACAAAACCAAATGTAAAACGGAGATTAGGGAAGAGGCCGGAACATTTACCATCTGTTGTTGCCAGGCGAATGAAAATTGATCCTAGCGATGAGATCAAAGTTGTTGCAGGGAAAATTGCGTACTCTTTATGGGAACCAAAACGCCATCTTGTATTGAAGACGGTGGAAATGATAGGAACAGAAAAATCTACTGAGATTTATAATAGAGCGATTGAGATAGAAGAAGGGGGAGGAATGCTGATTAATGTAAGATTTTAATTTTTATAAATGATTAAATGGTAATTATAAATATAATGTAATTTATAACTTAATAATGTTTCATAATAGACTATACATTAGCCTTACAGTATTGACAAGTCAGTCATGATAATATTTTAATGATTATCCTAAGAATGATATTGATGATTGTGATGATGATGAGATAATAATAATAATATAATATATTTTTAGATGAGAAAAGATAACAGTATGATAATAAATAATAATAAAATATTAAAGTGCTGATATTAATAATTATTAATAATACTTTAATATAAATTATTGTAAGAATAAGAATTGCAATTCTACAATATTTCATTTGAGAAAATTAAGTTACTGTATTATTATAATAATAATAATGTTAAATTATACTGCACATAAATACATCTAGGTCTAGAAAGCAAAAGAAAAAGTAGAAAATGTAGTAACAATCACGAGCATTGATGACAATACAAATGATGATAATATAAATAATGACAATACTATCCAACCCAAGCTATTGTTTAATGTTAAGCCTTTCAAGTTGCTTGAACCTGAATACTGAATTGCTTTATTTGTCCATCATAAAATAACCGAAATTCTTTTTGAAGACTGGAAAATATAATTAGTAAATGAAAATTAATTAAAAATTATGTGTTAATAGTTAAAGTTAATCTATTGCATTTGCACACATCCACAAAATATATAATATATAACAGAAGATACATGATAAAACATTGCACAGTACAGACAGTTGTAAGCCCCGTATAAAATTGTATACAGTATGTACAACATTAAACCAGTACGCAACCAAAATTATACTCATAATAATTTAAAAAAATTTTATTTACAGAATCAGTCAAGACGAAGATCTCCTGGGGGAGTGTTCTTCTATTTACTTCGGAATTCTTATGGATTTGAAACAAAGCTGTTAGATGAAATATTTGATGCTGATTGCACAGGAAATGAACAGAAGTGGAAAAAGACTAAAAAGAAGAGGAAAAAACCTGGCAAAATACAACTTTTGCTGAAGGAAGTGAAGAAAGAAAAAGAATAAATGAAAAGGATTATAGCATGTGATAAATAATTTATGCCAATGATCTGAAAAGAGAAAAGCAAGAAATATCTAAAATGCACCTGAGAAATTGATGAAAGAAAGAGAACAAAAAGGAAAATAACTGGTGATAAACAAACTTGTTTCCATGAAATGAATAGAAGAAAGAAAAAATAATAAAACTAGAAAAAAGAAAACTAAAAAATGGACAACAAACAGCTTATACTGTATGAGATGGAGAGAAGGATATTAAAAACAATAGAAAAACAACTGCCAGACTAAACCCCTCATTCAAGAGTTATAAAATTGTTTTAGCATGCAATTAAGCTTAGTACTGTTTTATTAGATAGATCAAGTATCAATACTTTAATTTTTTATTTTTTTTTTTTTTTTTTTTTTGGGGGGGGGGGGGGGTGTTTTGTTGGGGGTTATGGGGTTAAAATTTGTATGAATTAATCATTGTAATAAATAAAAATTAAACTTTCTGTGCACCCCATGTGTAAGAATAAGGATCTTGAGATAAACCACTGGTTGATTGTCCTGAGCAATTTCACCAAAACATAATCTATGATACAGTACCATCAAACCAGAATCTCAAAGCCCTATACAGTACTTAACATGGTGTATTGAAAGTTAATTTTTTTTAATTATTGATACTCACTATGCAAACTCTCAGGAAATATTTTATTCATTGTAGTTACTTATTAGCAATTAGTTAGAAAATATGATTTTATAATTTGCATATAATACAGATGTTGATTGTTGAATAAAACGCTGACTGCAATGTTTCATGTTAATTTTTATTTGTATATACTAACTTGCACAATGATAGTGTGAAGTAGTGACATTTAATGTACGTAAAGTAGTTGGATCTTGGTGTGAGATGACTTCATGTCGTTTTGGTAAACATAAGATGGAGAGGTCAAATCATGAATGAGTTAGTAATAAGAATCATGTTGAACAGGAATGAATTTGGATTCGATCTAATGGGACCAGTGCGTTTATTAATCTGATCTATATAGGCCTACAGGACTGATGAGAAACGTAGAGTATGAGATGATGTTCCAAAAAATTGCCTACAGGGTGCAACATGTCTTGCACGGAGTCCGAAACTCGCGTCAGGGTCACAAGTACGTGAAAGGGAGAGGTTTATAAATATAAATTGTGTTTTTAAACCACAATATAAGGAACTGCAACCATAACAACATGGGATCCATGCTTGCCCAATGGAGGATTTCACCCCACCCGCCGATCACCCCAATGGTGTCAACTGAATTTATGCAATTAATGGAACAGAATATTTAGAATTGGATGTTTCGGTACATCACCGTACACGTAGACCAGCTAAGAAGAAAGAAAACAAGTTGGAATTACTTCTGTTGTGATCATTGGCGTCGATCGGTGGGAGACAGAGGGGGGAACACGTCCCCTCCACTTTTCAAAGTAGGAGGGGACATCATATCAATTGTCCAGCCTTCCCACTTTTCACCAATCTTCTATAGTTAAAATCCAAATTTTCAAAGCGAGTGGAAAGAACGACAGCAATTACCGGTTCGAATGACTGTCATAATTTTTGTCTGTTCACTTTTGCTCTATTCCAAGTGCGAAGCGTATTCCGGACCAAAACCGAGTAAAAACATAATTGTTTGTACATTTCATAACCATCTCAGTAACCATTCCATCTATTTTATGGGTGCAGCGGTTATCAGAGGCTGAATTTATTGTGAAAAAGTACTGTACGTTGTAAAAATTGGAAGCGTGTAAATAAACCTATCAAGCCAACATTTTTACAAACTTAAAACTGCACAATTTTTTAAACGATGTATCTCTTTTCATTATTTTATAGACCTGTATATACCAGTGTTTAATATTGTATGCATACATAGATTCCTGTATAGATTCCTAATTTCAACAAATTATAATTAAATTGAATTTTATATAGCCGTTATTAAACAATAATTATACAGCCTTGATACGGATAAGTCTATCTATTTCGACTTATTTAAGCATGATACCACAAGTTTACGAACTCCAATGTTACGTTGAAGCAATCTTGTCATGATAATGATAAATTAAATAAATCACCTATGTTTGTGAAATAAAAATGCTAATGTTTTTTGTGCTTCCTACCTTACTTCCCAAGTCTTGTTTTATCGTAAATCAAACGGTAGTATTTTTACTCACAATAGTGTATTTCTATATACAATACATACTACTTGTCTTGCACAAAAGTAAAATTCAAAAAGAGGGGGAGAAAAAAAAAAGAAAAAACTCTTGATTCATTTTAAATGCACTGTACATGCACAGAAACTAAATGACTGTTTGAAGTTTATCTCATTTCATAGTTCGAATACGTCACAAGCTAATTCGTAGATAATAAATCATTATTTTTATGAATGTTAGTTTGTACAAAATATATAAGCGGTCATGATTATGATTTCCAGTATAAATTGAAAAACTTTTTATGATGAGTATTTCAGTAGCAATTTCAAGGGGGCCCAGCCCGCCCATCCTCCCTATTTTTTTCAAAATTTTGAAGTGGCGAAAAGAGAAAATTCTATTCAAATTAAGTTTGATAGTGCCATTTCCGGTCAACTAGAGGTGACATGATAATAAATTTTCTTACCGCAGCCCCAACCATGGTGGGGCTGAGGTGGTCTACATTCCATCTGTAACAGTCCCTTCCTGTTCCCCCTCTGTTTCGACTTCCTGGATCCGCCATTGTATTTTGAGAATGTAATATCTGTCTCTTATACACATCTAGATGTGTATAAGAGACAGGATGTGCCTTAATCAAGGACACGGATAATGGTGATCAGCCTCTGACTTGGCCCACAAACTTCTGGTTGGAAGCCCATAGCCTGTTTGCTTGCTATACTACGTGCTTCCATTCTAACAACAGCATATCGTCGCTAATTGTTAAACTGAATTAGCATAGAATCTGGCAGTATTGTATACTTGAGTACAGAGAAGGCATAATAATTTTCCTGATAACTTTGGCAATAGTGAGTCGATTCTAGTAAATGATAATAATAAGCTTTATTTCAACACGGAAACTTGGCTCAACTAGCAGTTGTTTTTCTGCAAGGC